ATCTAAGGGAGCATGTCTATCAAGTATAGAAACTAGACAATTTACCAGATATGACACCTTTTCATCGACAGTATCTTGATCAAAAATGCGAAAAAATGATGTACTTGTTAAATCATTTTGAAATTTATCTTCATCAAAATTTTTAAAAGATCTGTAGGTATCCATTTTATGTTCCTTTTGTTCTTTAACATTAATTTTACAAAAAATTAAGGAGTGATCCGAGATTGTATGATGAATGATACCCTTATCCACCAAGTTTTCCCTCCTAGCTATAGCATAGTCAAGTAAAGTCGAAGAAGATTTAGTTACTCTTGTTGGAACATCAATAACTTGCGCTAGGTCGAAAGATTCTAGAATTTCATTAAATTTGTGAAACGAAGCATTTTTATTAAAAAAATTCATATTAAGATCTCCTAAACAAACTACTTCATCAACTGTTAAAAAAATAGACGCCAAAGTATCCTCGAACTCCTCTAAAAAGTCAAATGAATTCTGTGCATGAGGCTTATAAACTACCCCTACAGCTAAATTCTTTTTATTTAGAGTTAACCTTATCCACATTTGTTCCCATAAATAGCCCTCATTTTTTATTATAAGTTCACAAACATATTTATTTTTGACATAGATACATAAACCCCTTCCTCTTGCATTTCTATCCCCACGATATAATGTATAACCCTTAACATTTAAATCATCATTACTAACATAGCTATGCAGCCCATGGGCGAAGTTATGTCATCAGATCTGGGGGGGCTAAAGCCCTAGCCCTAGTCATGTAATATATAATAGTTCTAGAGGTATACCTACTGAAGTTAAGTAAAAAAAATCTGGCGAATCTATGAAAATGGATAAAATATCATATATCGATTCTAAACAAAGTTTTGCAAAATTTCAATATTGTGAATTTGTAGATATCCATTTATGGTAAAAAACTAAATTTTACGACTTGCACTTGGAAAATAATGAATACTTCAGTTTTGATTTTGACATTAACACCATATAGATTGCAATTTGCTGGGGACTTTTTCGCAGATTTCATTTTTAACATAAACACTATCACATACTATAAGAAATAAACAAATTTAAAGCTAAAAAGTAAAAAAAACTCGAATTGTAATTGATACAAATTAAAATGTAAACAATGAACTCGTTGCCAAATGATGAACTGATTTTAAAACAAAATTAATAAATGAACTGAAATTTAAAAAAAAATTAATATAATAAATCGGTTTTATAAAAAGTCCTTAAATAAATATAGAGTATGATTACATATTACTATACACAAATTTTGATTCTTAAATAAAAGGTCTTATCCACTTCTTCAAGAGCTAAAATCCGACGACGTAGCGAAATTTTGCTACTTCTGGCAATACTAAACGATATCCTACTTATAGGGACCTTCTACAAATTTCCTTCAGAGGGCGTATCACTTAGCTTGAATCGCGAATAAAGATCCTTCCAATTATATCTTCTCAAGGAAGTGTAGGATTTGGAGTAGCTTCAAGTTAGGTAAATCTCCCTCTTCTATTTGATATGCTCCTAGGTATAGTGCCCTTGGATTCTGAAGTGCTACACATTTAGTTAGAATGTGAATGAAGATTTTTTCCTCCTCCTTACAAAATCTGCACTATCTTCTACTACTCTCAGTTTACTAAGGTGTCATTTTAGTTGGCAATGTCCAGTAAGGATCCCTGTTACAAGTGTTCTCGCTACTAGAAAAATGTATATTATGATAACAGCTTAAAATACAATCTGGCTAATGTGGAACACCCCGAAAGCCTTGCCAGACTCGTCTAATGACCGTCAGGCGCGCTAAATTCGGCACGTTCGATTACTATTCCTCTCCTCGTTTAACTACCTGGCTTGTCAGGTCCGACTGAAATACGGTTTTATAACCGAAACAGAAACCAAATTTCGGCTCCTTTCTTAGTTTCGGCCGAAACAGAAACAAGAACTTTCTTTTATGGCAATCTCTTATTGAAATTTGCAATATCTCATTGTAATCCTTGTTTTAGACTAATTAACTCGTATTATAAATTTTAGCTACATTTACTTATTACCTGTTTATTTATGTGATCAAAAGAAGCCATTAATAAATTTATTGACATGTTCACTTGAAACAAAGCAGGGAAGTTTGTGTGTACGTGCACTGTGTAGGAATGGCACCAGGCACAGTCGCCATTGTGCCGGACACAACCAATTGTGATACGAAAACTTTTAAAAGTAGTTTCGCTGTCGGCTGCAGTTTCGGCCAGTTTTCCGCCGAAACCGAAACTGTAGTCGAAACTATTATTTAAAGCCAAAGTTGGCCGAAACCGTAACCGAACCTTCGGTCGGACACTACTTGTGAGTCTGGCAGGCCTCCGTAATTGTAATTGTCAGCCAGACGTGTATTTTCACTTACGAATATTTTGAAATTTATCTTAAGTAGATGGATAATGTTCTTAAAATATGCGTGAGTGTGCAAAAATTTACAGATAATAATTTAGGCACGTTTGGTATTGGGTAAGAAAGTTTTACACCAAAATATCCAAATTTTAAAACTTGACAGACATGCATTAAAACGACTAAAATCAAATTTTCAAAGGTAGCCATACCACAGAATATAAAACATATGTTTTATATGCTGTGGCCATACCATGACCATTTGTCATATTTGAAGTCGTTTAGTTGACGCGAAAAACCTAATTATTAATTTACATAAAATAAATGTAGTGTATTTCTACCTAGTTATAATTGGTATTAAATAAAATATTAACCACTGAAATGGCAAATTTTTTATATGCATGAAAGAGCTGCTCAACTGTCAAAAACATTTTCAGTATAATTTCGTTCAGGGTACCCACCAAAAGAAAAATTTCCGGAAATTTTTCTGGTTGTCATGAAAGTGTTTTAAAATAACAGCAGTTGATTGGCTATAAAATGGAGGTGTAAAATTATCATTTAATCTATCACGTGACAAATTTTCAAACCCGGGAAAATAAAGGCAAAAATATTATATTTTTTCCATTTAGAAGATATTACCAGACTCACTAGCCAATTTCGTAAATCAGCCAGACTTATTATTATAAACAGTTCATGATTGTATCAATTTATATGCTCAATTTTCTGCCACACTCACTTTCCACTATCTGAGATAATCCAAGCTTTATGTTCTAGTTTAGTAAATGTAAAATAGTTATGACTGGGAAAATAAGTGTCAGACTCAAAAATTTTGTTTCTTGTCACTAAGAGAACAGTTTATTTTTCATATACACCGACTGGAAAAATGAATACGAAAAAAATTCACTACCTCCTGAACTAAATGTAAAATTGCAGAATCAATCAAATGGCACGATCCTTTTTATTTTTTAATTTCTGTTCTGAAATCTGAAATGTTTGGGTGGATGTGCGATAAATGTTCGAATTATTTTTGGGGGGGCTAATTTGGTTTTTGGGGGGGCTTAGCCCCCCCAAGTCCCCCCTTAACTTCGCCCATGAATTGCAGCCATGTTTCACATATTAAAACAACCTCAAATGAATGTTCATCCAATAAATTTTTAAAATTTTGTAGCGATGGTAATAAAGACCGAGCATTTAAACAAGCTATATTAAAATAATCCATATGTTTCGACTCAAAAAAAATAAAAAAATGTAAAAGTTCAACTATCCTCTCTAAAGCGATTCAGAATAATAATATAAAATCCTATTTCTAAATAATAAAATAAATACTAAGCTGAGAATATCGATTTCTGATATACAAGATAAGCAAGTCCAAAAACTAGTTAGAAATGGGAGCAACTAACTGCACAAATGTAGTTTTATTTAAACCGAACTCTTTTGTGCTAACTTAAAATCTATTATTTGAAGGAACTAAACAAATATTTGATCATTAATTTAAACAATATAAAACAATATAATTTGATAAATTTTAGAGATTAGGCAGATACAATTTAATTTTAGAATTTAATAATTAAGAATTAATTAAGAGAATAACATCACTTTTTTTTTAAATTGTCAACATCCTTCAATTCACTGATTTTGATAACATCTTTGCTTCCGTTAAATTTAACGAAGATGTTTCCTTTATTTGTCCATACTAAACCATTCTCGCTAACTTTCCTTATTGCAGCTTTGAGTACCTTTAATGTTTCAATTGACAAATCTTCTCTCATCACTATATTAGTTCCTTTTAAGTGCTTCTTGTTATTAAATATTAGATTCTTTAAGTAAGCCGTACCAAATTGAACAAAAATTGGGCGAATATTATTTTTATCATTGATTTTTATGCGGTAACAACTGTCAATATTACCTACATCGAGAGTAATATTCAGTTTAGATTTAATTAATTCTAAAACAGTAACTTCACAGTTTTCATGCTCAGATTCGGGTACTCCATAAAGTAAAACATTCTTTTGTCTCCTAAATTGGTCACAAATATTATATTTATCTTCTAAAACTTTAATTTTATTAATTTGTTCATGGAGCTGAGATTTAAGACCGTTATTTTCTTGTTTTAGAAAAAAGTATAGGGTTTGTTTTGGTTCAAACAGAACTGCCAATTCCAGTTCTCAAATACAGTTGACTACTTCATTTTTCAAGAATACGTCGCGATGATAATCGACGCATTGAGCTGAACGAGTGTAATTCACTGATTCTGAATTAGTTCGTGAAAGAACCAAAACAAACCTATAGTGTAATCTATTTTTGGATGGTCCCTTAACCCGAGACGATTTCTGAGAAACCAAAACATCGTAAACCGGGCGGCCGACAGAAAAGGGTCGTTCAATCATATTCAAAGGTTCAATCAGTGGGTCAACATTTTGGATGGGCAGATCATCGAACACCGTTGATGAATGCAGTCGGTTTCTAATAAGACATTATTGTTACGTGTTTATTCGATTATTTTGTATTATTGTTTCATTTAAAGTTATTTTAATAAACTTCATACGTAAAATAAACTTTTAATTATTTGTGGAGTTTACAATAGCGAACAGATTCTTTTGTATTTCCTTTTTTAGGTAAAAGCTGTATCTAATAATAAATATCCCATCGAAATTCATGAAGTAGAAACAGAAGACGGATACATATTGACCGTATTTAGGATTCCACAAGGAAAAAATTCCAACAAAATAAGCCGCAATGTAGTGTTACTGAACCACGGCATGTTTGGATCTTCAGAAAATTATATTTTACTTGGACCCAAGAAATCTTTGGGGTACGTTTTAGCTGACAACGGATACGACGTTTGGATAATGAATTCAAGAGGAACGTGGCATTCTAAAAAACACCGGACTCTTAGTCCGAAACAAAAAGAATTTTGGCAATTTTCGTAAGTACATAATTTTAGATTAGATGAAAAACCACCAAATTAAAATTATAATCACATTTGACCAGATCATTTATTGGACGGATGATCTGAATCTCAAGTAGATAATTTATTTCTGTAAAATCTATTGATACCCAATTAAAGATTGACAGGTTCAATAGAAATCATATTTTGTACAGGCAGAGAAATAAAATTTAACGAATAACCTTTAATCTATAAGACCTTACAAATGGATCGTCTAAGATATCTCTCCAGAATCTGTAATGTGTACTTAGATTCCCACACTTTTTTTAAACACTTTTTCACACTTTTTTTAACATATTTTTATAAAACTTTTTTAACACTATTTTAAACAATTTTTTATAACACTTTTTTTGACATTTTTTTAAATTTTATTTGACACTTTTTTTAACTTTTTTTGATACTCTTTTTAACTTTTAACCCTTCGTTTAGTTGGCATGAAATAGGAGTATACGACATTCCAGCTGTCATCGATCACATTCTAAATATAACAAATGAAACAAGAATCAACTATATCGGTCACTCACAAGGCTGTACAAGTGCATTTGTGATGGGTTCAGAAAGACCAGAATATAATGACAAGATAAAACTTATGATTGCCTTGAGTCCAGCAGCTTTTTATAAGCATATGAAACATGATATGCTCAAAATGGCCTCCAATTATGGCAAACAATTAGAGGTAATTATTTTCTAATTAATTAATCTGAACCTCTCAGTTTCAGAGACACAGATTGCGCTGTTAATGTTTTATGTATTCAGTTTTGTGCGAAGAGTGCTTACCTTTTACATTTTTTTCAAACTGACTTCCTTCTGCTGGTGGAAATAAAATTCAGGCAATGTTTTACTAGTGTAAATCCATTTACAACACTGCTGTTTAGATTAAGTATGGAATAGACTGCTTCTTCTGTAAGCAATCTGGTCAAACAATCCCTTCTTCCTAAACAACAATTCCTTCCTCTCTTCATATCCATCTAAACCAAATATAACCAGAAATAAATCCCATTCAAACAGAACTCGCAGCCCTCTCTCCAAATTCCACTGAATCAACTACATCTAAAACTCAGATTCATCCAACACCAACATAAAAAAGCCAGCAGATTCAAACGAGAACATTCCTGTACCTAAAGATCCTTCAAAAAATATTCCTATTAATCCACCAGATCCAACCTTAGAAGCAAATCCCTAAACCTGTCAAAAAGAAGAGGAAAACGGATACTTCTGAAGAATCTAATCTGTTAGAATCTTCAAAGAATCTTATTTTAGACATTTACATCATAAGATGCGTATTCTCTTACTTCATAACATTTCTTGAAAACTCTTGTGGTAGCACCAAATCTTTACAATTTGATGTGCACCAAAAGAAACTTTCCTAAAATGTGGCAGGACTCAACTATCTTTCCCATAAAAAACTTGGTAAATATTCTAGCATTCCTAACTCCTACAGGCCTATCGCAGTGTTCACACAGAAGAACTATTTGCTGAAATTGCAATATGCATGGATTCTCTTGCCTCGATCAGATCCATTCAAAAAGTATTTTTTTTTTTTTAGGATCTCGCAAACTCTCTTGGGATATATGAACTTCCACCTCCATTTATGTCTGCTGCACAATTAAGAGAAATAATTCGATTGTTGTGTATAGAATCGTCTGTGCTTCAAAATACATGCAATACTTTATTTTTTCTTATTGGCGAAAGTAATCCAAGTCTACAGGATAAGGTTAGTTATAAAATTACTCAAAGAAAATCTAAAATGCATTTAGAATCATTTATTACAAATAAACATACAATTTTAATAAATTAGCTGTGTGATACAATATTACTGATTTTTATTTTTGTAGATCGATAGCTGAACAGCTTCTCTAAATACTTTATTTAAAACTATAGAGAATTTTTAATAATATTTTCCAAATAATAAAATACATAAAACTGTTGTTATATTCAAAGCGCCATTCTACATTCTTTCATCTTTGTTACCAAATATTTAACCTCAATTTATCTTCTATTTGGTGTATCTGTTACATTCAAGAATTGTCAATGGCCTCTACTCTAAAGATACATGTGTTGAACATGGCCTCTAACTTGAAAGCATGGTTTATTAGATAAAATACAGTTAACATAAAATTATTACATGTTAAAGTTTAAAAAATTAAAATAAATATTTTTCTATCAAATATTTCAAACGGACTTTTTAATTTTTCTTGAAAGGTACATAACTGTTTAAAAAACAGTTGTTTCATTGATTTTAAGAAAGTCTACAAATCGATCATTTTAAGTGTATTTAGGAATAATTTTTTAAATTTTTATTTAGTTTCAACTCTAATTCTTTGTTAAATATTTAAAATTAAAATTGTTTTAGAATTCGATTAAACAAATACTGCCGTTAATAGTTGCTTCAGTTTCTATAAAACAAGTTTTCCATTACTCACAACAAATTTCCTCTGGTAAGTTTTTCTTAATTTTTATTTTCTTATTATTGATTATAATAAGGTTAAAAAAATATATACCTATCTCCTTTTCTTTCTCGTATTATTATGCCGAATTTAGATAATTTGAATAATAATTTAATACTAATAAAGACTGAAATCCATCACTGAAGAAAGGAAAGTAATTCCAGATTACCAGTTCAGTTTTAGAGAAAACTATAGATCAGGTTCATTCATAAAATCTCAAACGCGATTGAAAAAGTATTAGAAAACAAAGAAATCTGTTCAGCCATCTTCCTGATTGTTGCGCGGGTTTTTGATAAAGTATGGCATGATGGCTTAAAACATAAACTGAATGTGCTACTTCCACAGCCATATTCAGCGCTATTGGATTCTTTAAAATAAAACAAGACAAAGCATACTCTGAATTGAAAAAAAATAAAGCAGGAGTACCACAGGGAAGCGCTTTGAGACCCACTTTGTATCTGTTATACACATGTTACAAGACACAATAGCTACATTTGCAAGATGATACTGCCATCCTAGCAATATAGGCAAAGAACATGAACAATTTTCTTAAAAATTCAAATTATGTATTTTTTGTTAAAGTTCTCGAGGATTTAGTCGAAAAAATTTGCATTTTAGAATTTTGTCGAATTATTCTGGAAGTAGTCAGAAAATTAAAAACTGGGCCATTGGATGAATAATAAAAATCTCTTTGGATTTAATTATTGGCCTACCTTAAAAACATTTTTTTATGGATCATTCTTCGAAATATTATTGTAAAAATTTGTCTTACATTTATTTATTTATTTGTACGATTTTAGGAAATTTCCAACAATACGATTTTGGTCAAGAAAAAAATCTGGAAAAATATGGAAGCAAATACCCGCCTCTGTACAACATTAAAAACATAACTTTTCCAGTAGTTATATTCTACAGTAGTGGAGATAGGTTGGTTTCTGAAGAGGTAAAATATTTTTATATGATATTATTCTACACATATCCCCTTAAAAACGTACTTAAAATTAAGTCTTCTAGTTTGTTCAATGGATATTTTATATAGTTTAATACAGCTCAAATACGTGGAATAATGAGTAACATAATAAATCTTCGTTTCATTTAATTATAAAAATGTTTACTCTCTAATATAATTTCCTCCTGTTAGCATTCTCAAGACCTCCCTTATTTTTATTTCTCAAAAATGTACCTTTTTGAAAATTTGCGAAAACCCTAATAATTCAAAGTTTACAACTATTTACTAAAATTTGAATCCAGCTTTAAACTTTCAAATTCAGGTAAATTGTCTGATCATTCTTACAAATATCTTACTTTGCCGACTTAATTTCTCAACATCCAAGGTCCTTCCGAGTCCCCAGATATTTTTATTTTGAAATTAAATACGTATTAATTGTTTACTCATAGTATTAATTTTAATTTTCAGGATACACTACTTTTAGCAAGCCAATTACCAAATTTGGTAGGTGCGTTCCAGGTGCCAGCGGGATTTTCTCACGTAGATTTCATTATCGCAAACAATCTTGATAAAATAATATTAAGACCAGTATTAAAGCTATTGAAAAGGTATAATCTACATCAATAAAAAAAAACACAAATAATTTATTTCTTAAATTTTAATAATAATTTATAGAAATAATTAAAATTTATGCAACGCCGGTGATATTAACATTAATTATTTTAAGATAACAGTTACACCTAAATACCTCAAAATTATAAAAATAATGATAACGTTAATAATCTTTAATAGATGAAAAAACATAGATTTTTAGCTGGTTGTGATACTTTATTTTTTCTATGACGGAAAAAATGACATTTTAATATATTATTTCAATATAATAAAGTCAAAAAATCAATCAATATGAAATTTGAAGTTTTAAACTTGTATGCAGTTGTATCCAAGGCCGACTCCAGGGGGGCTATGGGGGCCATGCCCCTCCGAGATGAAAATTCTTACGATCTATGAGCCTTTTATTCAAAAAATATTTTAAAAAGGGAATATCTAAAGGCAATTGCCTCCCCCCCCCCCTCTGAAAGTTCGTCTTGGAGCCACTCTTGGTTGTACTTAAAGCATAATTGGACCTATGTTACTAGAGATACCTTTAAAGTTATCAAATACCTTTTAGTATACTGGAAAAAAGTACCTACTTATTTTTTTCTCAAGAAAAAAGTAATTTCATAAAAAGTGACATTGGTTACCTGTCAGGAAAGAAAAAATGTCAAAATTTTTTATCGTTACAGAAACAAATATTTATTTAGTTTTAGAAGATATTGTGATATGTTATTTATTGTTAATATATTCTAATTTAATTATACCACAGTTTTTTGTTTACTTTATTGTTTTCAATTTTCCTGAAATATCTAAATATTCTAAATCCTACGACTAGTGATTTAAATAAATTTAAAAAATACAAACAATCAGTTCTTCCTGCAGATTCAACATTTTCCTAGACTTACAAAATGCTTGAAACCCGATACTTGTTAATAAATCAAAAAATTAAGTGGTCGAATATATGGTGCCACATAAAACATAATTTAAGCTACCCTCTTTTACATTTTTTTTAATTTAGTCACATACAAATTTGAGCTCTTAAATTTCGAACAGGAAATACAGAATATCACTTGCAGATGTTTGCTTTCAATCTTTTTCTTTCGGTAAAAAAAAATATACGGGAAGTTCGGGATAGGCTAGACTTGAAAATCTATTGAGGTTCGTGAATGACGGCAAAAAAGAACAAATATAAAAAATTATCAGCTTTACTTCCGTGAATAAGGGTGGTTTTGGAAATATCAATCTCTAGAGATTGGATTTATTACAGGAAATTTTTCTGAATACACGTTTATTTTGAAATATACGAGTGATATAGGACTAAATAATTTTCTATTAGATCATCATGTCAAATTTGTAGTATTTGAAATAAATTATATAAATATTATGGTGTAGATTAAAACTTATTTCGCTTTGCCTGAATTTTTCAGGAATAAAAGTACATGGTAATCCTTATTCCGAAAATAATAAAAAATTAAAATGTGCAAAATGGTACTATCACAGCTTATACAATACAGCTCCACAACTCCGTGTCGGCGTCTTTGATCTGGCGGTCGAGAACCAAGCAAGACGGAATGGTGCTATCTCTGTTAGGTTCGAGGAAAAAGTCGGGCCCGGATTAAACAATTTTTTTATTATTGAAAAAATTGAAAACCTTGGCGTAATAAGGTTGGTTACATGCCATATTAAGTAAGTTTTGAGAAATTAAATTTTTAATTTGTTTTAAATCTGTCAAATATAATTAGAAACATTATTTAAATATAAATATTACGAAAAATAGCACATCTTTCGAATTAGAGGTAAAATAATTTGTATGTGGCTAGTAAAATCCTCGTTAACAAATGTTTTGAGCTAAAACAGTCACTTCACGACAAATTGTGGCTTGGATCCTTTTTACACCAAGGGCTTCAATTGTTAAAGAATTGTGTCACGCTCGTGGATGCAAATCAAGTGGTACCCCGTGTCTCTGGCAAGTGTTACTCTTCGCGCAAAGGGTTTATACCTAGATAAACGAATGCTTCGACTGAGGTCTGGATACTCTATGGTATTTTGGAATTATAAAGAATTTGTGCTTTTATTTTAACAATATTGGTTATATTTAGATGTATTCTTATTAATTGAAATACAGATTTGTAGAAGTAATACTTTGACAGTTTTTATTAATATAATATATTCAATTTTTATCTGACCATACCGAAGTAGGGAATTTTGAAACTTTATAGTAATGTGAAATTTGAATTACAATATTACACGATATTACATAATTAGTACTTATTTTAGGTAGGTACTAAATTTGTACTTGGAGAAAGTAATATCGATTTTTACAAGAAAACTTGAAAAGTAAATTAATTTAATTCCTATTTCTGATGTAAAACTTAAGTTTTGGTTTAAACCAAGAAAACAAATAAATTATAGTTTGTTCAACAAGGGTGGATATGATAGCAATATCACACAAAGACGAAGTTTGAGCACGACGTCGTATGCGGAGTACTCAATCGTCTGATTGTGATATGAACAATCCACTCGATATGGTCAGTATATTTTTTCTACGACCCACTAACGAAAATCTACAAATTTAAAAAATTATTTTAGGTTATTTAGACAAAATAACCAATTTTAAAATAATTTACGAAGTTGACTAATTTATAAAATAAAATTAACATGAAAAATTAATTAGTCCTCGGCCTAGATTCGATCCCGGGCTTTTCGCGTGGAAGGCAGATGCTCTGTCCTCATCTTCACCGAAACTTTCAGGACTTTAGTTTTAATACTCGTAATTAAATTAGTATCATGTAGTTTGATTAAAATTTATTTTTTTTTAAATGTGGACACAATAAAAACAAAAATGCTATTATTTATCGAGTCTACACAAAAATTTTACTGTATATTTAATATCAATAACTAAAATATATATTGACAATTAGTTTAACAGAATTGTCACTTATTTAAAAAAATTTAAATAATAGGAGTTGGGTGACCAAAATATGAACTGTGATTTGTAGATTTAATTTTGTTAAAGTGTTCTCACTACCTAAAATGGATATAAAATATATTCGTAGTTGAACGCAATAACATACTTTTTCGTTTTGTAGTATGTGCATAGATTGGCTAATATCCATGCACAGATTACAAAACGAAAAAGTATGCTATTGCCTTCAATTGAACGAATATATTTCATATCCATTCTAGGTAGTGAGAACACTGCAAAAAAAAATAAATTCGCCAATCACCGTTCATATTTTGATCAACCGACTGCTATTATTTTTAAAATTTTTAAATAAATGACAATTCTGTCAAACTAATTGTCAGTATATTTTTTAGTTATTGAGATTAAACATACAATAAAATAAGTTATTCTTTTGGAAAACGTTAGCATGGATGACTAAAGGGTATTGGGTTAATTAATTCTAAAAGTGTGGTACAAATGTTATTTTTTGTAGCCAATTCTTCAAAATTATTTTGAAATATCTTTTCAATATTGAATATTAGTTCTACAAATTCATCATTTGACAGTTGCAGATTTCCAAATGTATCTGGATTGGCGTTATCATATGCCTTTAAAAAGCAATAAAAAGAAAAATCATCTAATTCAACGTGATCTTTGTTATATTTAAGACAGGTATCGCAGAGGAGTGGATCCACAAGGCTTTTATTAAAAGGTAACCACACACATACCTGATAAAATTTTTCTGTATCAATTCGTCTCTACAATAATTTAGGGAGTTAATAATTTTATCATAAAATAAAATACAAGGTGTTCCATTTAAAAAACATACATTTTAATTTGCCAGGCAAAAACGTGACACCCTGTATATCCAAAGATATTTTTAAAAAATGTAGGTATTTTTCAAATCCATATATCTTTTATTTAAAACTTTCTTGCGTGTCTACAACAAAATAATGAACAATAACGCACTAATGGGATACCCTGTATAAATTATATTTTTAACAATGAAAATTTCTTATAATGTGGTACTTATCGGTTTGGGTCCTTGGGAAAACTAAAGAATGTTTTCTTGCAGGTATAACCCTTATTAAAACAGCTTTTGACTGCACAAACAGAATGATGTCTTTTTTTTTCACTCATTCTACTCATAGCTAAAGAGTCACCAAAATAATAACAGTACCTTTAACTCAAACAAAATCAACGAAATTATAGGCTCCACGAAATTATACAATCAACGAAATTATAGGCTCCACGAAATTATACAATCAACGAAATTATACGCACGACTCAACACCTTACCTAAGTACGCTTCTGAACACCAAAACCGTCTTTTCCCTTCGAAGGCGGAGCTTAAGCGATGCGCGACGAAATCGACGCAAACCGTTGCCGCCAAGAGAGTGTTTTAGCTGTATTGTATAAGCTGTGGTACTATCATTAAATATCGAGATACTGATACCCAGTGGCGCCGCGAGGGGGTTTTTAGGAATTAACCCCCCCAGACCCAGACGTGAACCTAGACGATTTTGAAACTAGGTAAAAAATTATTACATCTTTTAAATACTCTCAATTTTTTTAAAACCTCCCCTAATACAAAATTCTGGCTGCAACACTGTTGATACCACCATATAGAAAAAAACTTATTTATTGGTCTTTATAATAATAAACTTTTATAATTATTTAAAAAAATTCGCCCTTCACCTGAAGATCACTTTAAAGTGTCCATGCTAATTTATTACAGTTGCCCAAAGACTTTTTGGAAGGAAGAAACATCCATCAGTGAAGGATTTATGCTCTTAAAAATGTAAACATAAATCTCAAACTTTGAAATGAAACGGTTTCTAAAGAATATGGAGACCTCTTTGATGGAGACTCATCTTTTGATGAATTTTAAATATTTTATGGGACAGTGATTCTGAAGGCGTTATTTTAGATGTACGGTGTCCGAGAAAAAAAGGCGTATCGTCTTAAAAAATGAGAATTTTGCATGTAGTTTGTAATTATAATGTGTACATCATTTTTTTCCATCTACCATATTTTATACATATATCTTACAGTTTTTGAAAACAGGAAAAGTATATAAATCAAAAATGCCTAAATATATATATTTTTTTAATTTGCCAAATACACGAACTTTTCAAAATTTGACACTAGCTTCCTAGTTTAGAATTTAGAAATATTGAGTCGTTACAAATTATTCAAGTACCTACCTTTATGCAGGCTTTTATTTGAGAGAGATTCTTACTTTTTTAAATTAAAATTAACAGAGAATTTAAAAAAAAATATTAATAAAATAAAAAATGTTTTTTCGGTGATATAAAAAATAGAGAAAAACAATT